GATACAAACTTTGTGGATAAACAAAAATGTTTAAATAACTCTTACTAAGCCTTAGTCTCATATTGTCTGAGTTCAAAGAATATGCCTTTCAAAGTACAGGGAAATAATGCACACTAGCATCCAGTATTTGATAGGCAATGTGCTTCTGTGAAAAGAATACTGGATCTTAAATTAGAGTGTTTCTGTTCAAATCCAAGCTCTATTTGTGTGACCTTGGGCTTAATCACTTAACTACTCATCTCAGTTTCCTCCTCTGTAGAATAGAGAGAGACAGTGAGTGAGTGAGTGAGAGAAAGAGAGAGAGAGAAAGAGAGAGAGAGAGAGAGAGTGTGTGTGTGTGTGTGTGTGTGTGTGTGTGTGTGTGTGTGTGTGTGTGTGTGTGTGAGACAGAGAGACGTTGGGGAAGGGAAGAAGACAGGATTTTATGATATCTCAAGTCCCTTTCTGGTTCTGAATCTGTAATCTGTTAGAGGCGTTATATTTAGTTTTTATCTGATAATTTACATCAAGATCACCAAAACTTAAAAGCATTTCCTCACAACACTAAAATCCTTAAAAAAATGCAATTGTTTTGAAAGTGATATAACTATTATATACTATATACTATATATACTATATACTATATATAGCTATTATATACATAAAAGGATTATCTTTAGGAAACTGACCAGGCAAAATAAAATACAACATATACATTATATATATATATATATATATATATATATATATATATATATATATATATATATATATATATGACCAGGCAAAATAAAAATAACAAAAGTGGGCTTGTAGTCAAATGTTAGAACTGTGTGTGTTGTGTGGGATATCAGAAGTGAACAAAACTTCTGTCTTCAAGAAGCTTAAATCTAATAGGAAAGGTAAGACACATGGTACATGCTCCCTTACATTGCAATGGTTATGTGATTGGTCCAAAATGAGAAAAGAGGAAAAAGGGAAGACTAAAGGAAATGACATTTAACCTGATACTTCAAGGATGACTTTGACTTCTGATTCATAAAAATGTGGTGGATGGAGGTGAGGGAAAGGTCAGGAGACACAAAGGGAATTCCAAGCAGAGAATTTCATGATATGCATTCAATCTCCTTACCTTCCTTTTTTAGATTGGAAAAGGAACCATATGGAAGAATAGTTAAAGGTAAGTCTGAAAAGGTAGGTTGGGCCTATGTCACAAAACGTCTTTAATACAAGAGTAACCTTCGACTTAGTTGGCAACCACTGCAAACTTCTAAGCAGGGAAGGGATATGACCATAGCAATACTTTAAGTAAGAGCACTGATTTGGAGTGAGAGTACTCGAGTTCAATGCCTGGTTCTGCTTCTTAACTCTCTGCCCCTTGTGTTCTCTGGGAACCTATTTCCAGGACATTTGCAAAATCAGGGGATTGAACTAGATGACTTCTCAGGTCCCTTCCAACTCTAAATCTTATGGACCCAAGACTAATTTTGAAGATGTATATAAGTTGTATTAGAAAAGTATACAGTTCAGAGACTATAGAAAGTTGAGGCTTGAATTAGTTGGTGTGAATGGAAAGCAAAGAGGTATATGTCAAACGGCAAAATAAATAACATAAAGGATGTGACTAGTGATTGGATATTGGGGTTACAGGAGAGTAAAGAATTGATTATACATTAAGCTTTAAGCTTAGACAATGGGAAGACTGATTAGAACCCATTTAGAAAAGGTACTCAATGATGAGATTACTATAACTAATTTCTTTGGATGGGGTCCAGGACAGAGCTTTCAAATTAACTAGATAGCAAGTTTCGTATCAAGTACAGTGCTATGCAAATTACAATTCAAAAAAAAATTTCAAATCATTCCATTCACCTAGAATCTGTGGGCACACCACTAATTTTACTACTTACCTTTCCCAGAACTATGAGGATTAGATGAATTGTATAGAAAACGTGTTAATCTTCAAACATCAAAGCACAGTAGCATGCTGGCTTTGGAGTCAGGAAACCAGAGCTTAAATTCTAAACTTCTCATTTAGCATATGTGTGACCTTGTAATTTTACCTCCAAGTGTTTCCAAATCTATAAAATGGGAACTTTCACTACTACATACATGGCTGATTAGGAAAGCGCCTTCAAAAGAACTATGGAGTTTGAATGCAGATCGAAGCATACTGTTTGCTATTTTTTTCTTCTATTTCCTTTTTCTGGTGATTCCTCCTATCGGTTCTAATTCTTACCTACATCACTAATGTGAAAATGTTTAATAGGAATATATATGAATAGCCTATATCAGACTGCATGCCATCTTGGGGAAGGAGGTGGGGACGGAGGAGAAAAATTTAAAACTCAAAAGCTTTTGGAAGTGATTGTTGATAATTCAAAAGAAATTAATTAAAAATTTAAAATGTGCCTTCAGCAGCATGTCTTGTATTATTAGATACTATTATGTAATGAAACCTCTTGCACTGAACTGATAGCTTTATAAGCTTCACTTGATAAGAAACTGTCTCTTTTGGCAGGCATCTACAAGAAAATAAAACTTCCAAGATTTCTTCAGGAATACTAAGCAAGCTATCCAGCTTTGCTCTCTTGTTGAACCACAGTGCCTAAGTAAGCAAAAGAGTCAGGTCATTTCATTCATTCACTTTTGGAAACCTTGAAACATTTCCTCGTGAAACTCAGACCTATTAGCCAAAAAAATAATGTTTTTTCACATTCGCCCACTTTCAGTGACAGTGACAGCAATAGCCTGAAAGACGGTGCCATTGTTGGTTATTTCTTTTTAGTACAGATGACTAGGAATCAGACTAGGATTCTAATCCTGGCTCTCTTACCTGTGTGGTCTTAGGCAAAATACTTAACCTAAATCTGTCTCCTAATCCATACAACCAAGGGGCTGTAATAATAAATGACTTCAAGGTCCCCTTCAGCTTTAACATTCTACAATCTAGGCATAAAAATCATTTATTTCAGGGTCTGAAAACTAACAATTTACTTGTGCCAATTTCTTATTAAAAAGAATTAAACTTCAACATGCAGCTTTAAATTCAAAGTAGACTAGGAAACATCTGTAACAAGCAATCTGCAATGACACTAAGGAGTTTCTCTACAGAGCCAGCCAAAGTTGTTAAAATTTATCCTTACTGCCAATTTCAGAAAGTCAAGAATTTACTTTCACAGGCAAAAACTGTCCTATTAACTCCTTCTTCATCAACTTTTGGGTTCCCACTCCTCCCCAACAATGATAAATAAATTTTATACATTACTCAACTAGAAGACAAGACACTCAACACTGCAAGAACTGTCTTTGTCTTAGAGGACAGTTGTCATGTTACATAGGTGCTATTCTGTCCAATATCCAAATGACCCCTTTCAAATCAGTAAGGCGTGGTTTAAAAAAAATTAGTCTCAAAAGCAATTCTCAGTGAAAAAAGGTTAATATTGCGCATTAGAAATGGATACACCTACTGGTTAACTGAACTGACAATATTTTGACCACAGCAATATCCACCCATCTACATACTTATTTCACATATTGGTTCTTCTGATCATGTTTTTTGATTGTCTTAAAATCACATCCTGAAAATGGATGTAACCAATAATTGTGAATGCTTCAATTAACTAAAAGGTAGGAAAGGGGATAATTTCAGCATAATCATTTCAATGTGAGAACAAGATTACCCTTTTAGCTAGAAAACTGAAAATAAGTAGATAGAAGTCAAATTTCAATTTCATTTTTTGCTCTTACGTAGGACCCTACACAAAACTTTTGAATGCTCTATCCCTTTCTTTTTAAGTAATATAGCAGATGCAAAAAAATCTACCATACACTGGAAGGAGGCAAATGTAAAAATCAGGTATATCAAAAAAGGAACCCACATGGAAATTCACTTTTGCAATGTTTTACAAATAAAGGACACAAAAAAGGCTGAAAATAATTACTGTACTTCATTTTCCTTCACTACAATAAAAGGCCTAATTTCTTAAAGACAGGAGTGTAACATCAACATGGAAATTAAATAGACAAGAATGGTGGAGGGAAAGGTGGAGAAATCACAGGTTATCTTAAACTGTTGTCTACCACAGAAATGACTTAACACTAGGCATTTTGTTTAAAGAGCTAACAATTCCACATATTTGCCAAGTTACTTTAAACTACCACATTCAGAAAGTACATAGATAACACAGCAGACAAAAAGAAAATCTGACTTGCTTTTAAGATTCCTTCCTCTCTCTCACTACTCACCACCTCTTCTCTTCCCAAAAAAGGGGCTGGGCATTCAGAACTTCATTAGAAACTGGCCCTTCCTCCAAAAACCAAGCCAGCGAAACACTAGACTTGAGAAAATAATTTTCTCTTTTAACCGACTCCACAACTTGATTGTTCAGGACATCAACTACTTTGCCTAATTCTTGACTGTAAAAGAGTGAGTCCCCTTCATAATGTACATTTGATGTACAAGATTTGTCCTAGAAATACAACTTTAACTTGATAAATGTGAAGTATGCTTTGCATGAAAACTTCCCTTAAAACTTTTTGAACACTGAAAGCAAAAAATATAATTAGAACGTACATTATGAAAACAGAGATCAAAACAAGATTAATGCTTCTCTGCACAAAATACAGCATCTGAAACCAATTTCATTTGTTGTGGTACACTATGATGCTTTATAAATTTCTGCAACCAGGCTCTGTTAAATAAGGGTAATAAGTATATTTCTTCAATACTATTTAAAAATCTCAATTTTTCCTGGACTTAGGTTTTTGCCAGAATTTAAAACTCAAGACACCTGTTTTAAGAGCTAGTTTATTTATAATTTGTTTTTGTTTTTTACTGAATAACCAATTACCTCCTTTTCAAGACCCTTCTTATACCTTTAATTTTAGGTATTTGACTACACGCTCTCAAAATGCCAAATAGTTAATTTGTATACTAGTAAGCCAGGAATCAAATACTCTAGAATAAATAATCTATAACCCACCCACCATGTGATCATACATAATCTCACTCAAGCATGTAAAGAATTGAATTCTTTATTTGCAATATCCATAAACGTTGCTATTCTCTATTTCTATCCAGGAAGGCAAATGTCCCCATTATCAGTTTTTTTTTTTTATAAACAACAACTTGAATTCTATTGCATGAAAGGGCTACAAATATACATTTGTTAATCAAGCAGAATACAGATATTTTGCTTTACAACTTGCACCTAAATTGCCGGTACACTTAGCTGGCTCACTATTTTTCATAGCTGTTTAGGACTATTGCCCAAGCTATGCATAGCAATTTACATGTTCAATTCTTATGTAGTGTGTGGGCTGTAGTGACATGGACAACTATGTTCATTATATTCCTGTTGAAGCCTTTTAAGTTATATGTAAAACATGTAACTTCTGAGTCTACACAGGTATTTCTGATGTCAAAACATACAAGTCTAGTGCAATTTACTTAAATCAAACAATTTTTAATTAAATTGTATTGCAGAGGTACTGCCATTCTGCCAGTAGATGGTGCTACAAAGAACTAATGGGGGAGGGGGTTTAATGAGGACAATAGTTCAGGTAAGTGGAAGGGGAAAAAGTTTAACCTGCTCAGGAAATACAAAAATGCATTTAGGTTATTATTTCTGATAATAACCCTTGCTTGTAACGAGTCATTACAGTCAAACCAAATCAATAAGAGGACTGAAACTAAGTCATCTGAAATTTTTAACAGTTTATATGAATGAAAACACATGCTTAACACAAACTATTTCTTCAGAACTACACAGTACATACGTTGACAAAAAATTCATAGAAAGTGACCAGCCATGTCATAGGGTGGCAAGCAAACAACTTAGTACAAGATGGTGGATGAACAGTAACTTAAGTGTAGTTTTTTCTTTTTTTTAAACAAGCCACATCCACCAATTAGTACTTCAAAAGTTTTGTCTTTAAGGAATAAAATCCAATAAAGCCACTAGCAGGGCAACAGGAAAATAAAAACACCAGGACCTTTTAAAATTTCTCTAAGTACACATCAAGAATTAAGAATTAACAAGAAAAAAATATTTCAAAACTAAAATCCCTTAAACCGTACGGAATGGATCCTAGGAAAAAATGTTAGACATTTACGGTCAAACACAATGATTTATTAAAAATAAAACGTAAAAATGATTTTTGTACATATGCTTCCAAATTTCAGTCATGGGATCCAAGTAGGTTTCATAGAAAAAGCGCAGTAGCCAGGTATCAAGTCCTTACAACAAAGTAAACTCCCCCCGCCCGACCCCTCCCAGGTTTTGCTACAGAATCAGCAAGACACCCCCCCTCCCAAAAACAAAAACCAAAACAAAACCAAAAAGAAAAAAAAAAAACAAAACAAAAACCAAAACAACACAAATCAAAACAAGACAATTTTGCTAGTATAAAAACGACCAAGGTCCAAGTAATAATAAAAAAATAGAGTCCATCAATGACTGTAACACAAAAATGTGTATGTGGGGCCAAGTCCATTTTCATAAGAAGGGGAGACAGAGAGAAGGTGGCAGGCGAGTAGATCAAAGCCCCCAAAGGGAGGCTGCAGAAGGAGCTGTCCCCCCAAGGGCAAAAGGGAGAATGGTGAGAGGGGAAAAGGACTTTTGGGAGTTGAACTTCGGGTGGGGCTTTTAAAAAGGAGCTGCCCCTACAGCATTCCCCCACCCCCCCGGGAACTTTTTTTTTCTTCTATTTCTAGAAGGAGCTGCCTCCGTAGCCGCCCCCACCGCCATAGCCACCTCTGTAAGGTCCACTGTTGCTGCGGCCGCCCCAGCTGCTGCCCCCGCCGCCGCCGCCGCTCTTCATGGGCCCGTACGAGGACTGGTGCTGGCTGTAGCTGCCGAAACCGCCGAAGCCGTTGCCGTAGTCGCTGCCGCCGTAGGACGCTCCGCCGCCGCCGTAGGCATTGTAGCCGCCGCCGCCGCCCCCGCCGCTGTAGCCGCCGTAGCTGTTGTAACCGCCGCCGCCTTTGGAGAGCCCGTTCTGGTCTCGGCCGCCGCCGCGGCCTCGCCCGCCACGGCCGCCCCGGGAGGGCCTGGAGCCGCCGCCGCCGCCCCCGCCGCCGGGGTGGATATCCTCCTTGGGCACGGCCTTTTTCACCTCCACGCGGTGGCCCTGGATGGGGTGGAACTTAACGACCGCGGCCTTGTCGGCGGCGTCGTGGCTCTGGAAGTAAACGAAGCCGAAACCACGCTTCTTGCCCGACTGCTTGTCGGCAATGATCTCCGCCTTCTCGACCGTGCCGAACTGCGAGAAGTGCTCCACCAGGTCGCCCTCGGCCACGTCCCCCTTTCAGGCCTCCCACGAACAGCTTCTTCACCTTGGCGTGGGCGCCGGGACGGGCCGAGTCCTCCCGGGACACGGCCCGCTTCAGCTCGACCGTGTTGCCGTCCACAGCGTGGGGCGAGGCAGCCATGGCGGCATCGGCTTCCTCCACGTTGGAGTAGGTCACGAAGCCGAAACAGCGGGAGCGCTTCGTCTGGGGATTCACCACCACCACGCAGTCCGTCAGGGTCCCGAAGGCCTCGAAGTGGCCGCGCAGGCCCGACTCACTCGTCTGCACGTTGAGGCCGCCGATAAACAGCTTACACAACTGCGAGTTCTCCATCTCTGCAGCCTCGGCCTGCCCCTCGCCAAACTGAGCGCTCGACTGCTCCGCCGCTCACCGCTCGCTTCGCTCAGGCCTCACTCGGCCGCCGGTCCCCCGGTCACCGCCGCCCGGCCCCCGCGGGGGAGGGGGTAAGGGAAGGGGGCGCGTGAGGGGAAGGGGAGGGAAGAGGAAGGAAGGGGGGGAGGGAGGGGAGAAGGAGCCGGTCAGGGGGCGAGCCGAGGATGAGGGGGGTAGAAAAAAACCCAACCAAGGCCTTCGCTGCTGCCGCTAGCTCCCTCAGCCGCCGCCTCCGTTCCCCTTTCTGGGCACCACACAAAGAGGCCGCTGGACGCGCGCGCACCCACCCCGAAGCGTGCGTCACTGTCGACGCTCACCGGCCCCGCCAGCCGTCAGCCAATCAGCGCGCCTCTCAGCTACTCGCCACCTTCCGCGCGCTCCACAGCGCAACACCCGCCCTGGCTCTCGCGCTCTCTTCCGGCCTCTTACCCCCGCCCCCAGTCTTCAGCCTGTGGCGCGCGCTGGTCTCCCAGTTGCTGCGACGCGCCGAGCCGAGAGCCAATCACCGCTCGCCGCGCGCTGCCGGGACCCTCTATCTCCCACCTCCACAGCCGTTCACCCCTGTGCGTCCCGGTCGCATTTGCACCACCCTCTTGAAGGACGTGGAATCTCGGCCAATCGCCGGCCTTCTTCTTTACAACATTTCCTCCCCGCTTTTTTTTCAAAGGCCTTGGAGTGGGCGCGCACCGTGGCGCGCGCGTTCTACCTCTTCCCCCGCCCCGCCCCTCATCGCCCCCCCTCCCATTTTGCTGAGGTGGACTCCGCCTCTCTGGTTGTGAAGCCTTGCGGGGTGGGCGCGCTTCCCAAGGGCTGGAGTGCGCGCTCTCGATACCGCTCCCAACGGATTGCGGCGCGTGGCACCTCGGGCGGGCTTTTTTGAAAACTTGACTGTTGGGGGTGGGGGGGAGAACGGCGTCTCCCTGCCGTTCTCTTCCTTGCCAGGGCGCCCCTGTTAATAACTGACCCTCTCACACACTCTTAAAGTCCATTCCCTCCATTCACTGAAGAAGTGCTTTATTGAGTGCCTACTGTGTACCCTTCACCATGCTGAGTTCACAGTCAGGCTTGCCGGTGAATTCTAGGCCCACTCAAGGAAAATATTAGAAAACTATGTACGAAATAAGCAGAGTAACGAATTAAAATCAGGCCAGTTTCTACATGAAACTTTGCCTCCCCTCAGCTACTCTCCCTTGTTCTCTCCTTTTTGTGAATCCCGGCCCTCATTCCAGCAAAAAGCAAAGCGACACGGTAGAGGAAACCCAGAGCCCTGAAATGAATGCTGGCATTTCCACCCCTTTGCCCAGTGACCTTGAGAAAGTCGTGCTTTCCCTCCTTGAGTCTGTCTTTGGTTTAAAATGTATCACCTACTTCATAGGGTTGTAAGAATCAAATGAGATTATGTACATAAAGCACTTTGTAAATGATAAAAGTAAAACGTAAAATAAAAGTTTTTGTTGACTAAATAATACTTATGTGCAAGACCCTGTGCTCAGGCAAAGGGGATAATATAGAGATAAATACAGATGAATGACTCTAATAAAAATTAGAATATGTTACATGATAAGAATCTGAAGTGTGAGGAGATCAGATAGAAGAATGATTGCTTCTAATTGGCAGGATCAAAACCAAGACTAGCTCTGGACACACAGGGACCAAAATCCATCTCTTTGGAGAGTTATCAGAAATCACCTTATGGCTTATCCCCCACTCAGAAAGGAAAATCTGAATTTGTCATTCCTAAGGCTTGGCTATTTCAAGGCATTGAATCATACAACATGTTATTGAAAAAAAAAATTATACGCAACAAATTCACCAACAGAGAAGCAAAGACCTAAAACAAGTTGAGTTAACACCTTTGCAAAATGTTTATATATTGTCAAGAAAGAGAAAGGGTTTACTTGGTTCCTTTGGGAATATATCTGGACAGCCTAACAAAATTATATGACTGATTGAGAATTTTTCATTCCTTATCAAATTTAACCTAAGAAATCACCAAATATGAAAGACAAGACAATGTACCATAACAGAATAAAAGAGCTATTTCTCCAGCTATCCAGAGATTCAATCAATAAATCAACAAGTATTTATTACTAGTCCACTCTGTTAGGCATTTGGAATACAAGCACAAAGAATACAGCAATCCCTACTCTCAAGTATTTATTGAACATTATTGTATCTGAAGCCCTGTGGAGTCTGTAAAAGAAGTGTAACACACAGTCATGAGATTAAAACTGAGGAAAAAGCAGGTCTAATTTTTTCCACAAATAATATTTAAACTATTTATTATATTTAAAGGCGTGTGTTAGGAAGGCTTCATAAATGGCTTAGTACTTGAGCTGGGCCTTAAAGGGAGAGATTTCCAAGAAAGTAAAATAGAATAAAAAAAATCAAACTTTGAAAAGATGATAGGCTCATAGATTTAGATCAAAGAAGAGAACTTAGAAATCATATTGTTCAACCCTCTTATTATACAAATTAAAAAACTGGGGCCCAGAGAGGATAAGTGATTTGCTCAAGGTTAAACAGCTAGTAAGCAGTAGAGCTAAGATTCAAACCCAGAGCCTCCAACACCACATCCAGAACTCTTTCCTTGAAATATTTGGGAGACAGTGGAAAGATAAAACTGTCTGCATTGCATTTCCTATGAGTATACATAAGAAATGGCGAAAGAAAAAGTCAGACTATTGAGAGTCTTAAATGCTACACAAATGAGTACAGAACTTATTCAGCAGCATAAAGTCACTCAAGGATTTTTAAGCAGGGGAGTGGCATAATAAAGGTATTTCTTAGCAACATTAATATGCTCACAAGTGCTAGATAGATTGAAATGGAGGTGGACTTATCTTAGGGGAAGATGCTAAGAAACTATTAAAATAGTCTAGGAGGTAAGATGACTAAAATAGAAAGGAAGGGGAAGATGGTAGTATGCCAGCACCTAGAGGAGCTCAGCTCCCCCACAAACACCCTAGTAAAACTTTAAAATAAACCACTTAAAAATCGTGAAGAGAATCACCTATATGGATTCCTCCATACACTGATGGACGACATGAATCATACAGAAATCCTGAAGCAGACAAACCAGGGTAGGTGGAAAACATAATGTAAGGCATCTCTGGGGCACCTGTAAAAGAGCTCCCAGCAGAGCTCAGCAGCCCTGAAGCCCAATGGCAGAAGAAGGCAAAGATTCTGTGGCAGTGGGGAAGATCCTCAGGCAGAGCTTAATACAGGGAGGAAACATTTAAGCCCTATGGCAAAAGGGAGCCCCTCAGCAAAGCTCAGCCAAAGAAAATGAGAACAGCCCCTAATCCAGCAGCAAGGAAGATGAGTCTCATGCAGAACTTAATGAAGGAGGAGGTTCTGGAACCCTGTGCCAAGAGGAAGGTCCAGGCAGAATCTAACACTGGAGTACCCTAAGGTCACTAGGAGGAGGGGCTTTGTGTTGGCTACCACCCTCAGGTACAGTCAGAGACCTTCCTTGCCATTCAGAAATTCAGGAGTTAAACTTGTCCCAAGCACAGACCTTCAGCAACTTGAAGTTACTAAGAAGAGCAAACCAAGGAAAACACTAAATATTATGAAGAAATAACTTGGACTTGGGCAGCTAGGTGGCCCAGTGGATAGGGGAAGCCTTGGAGTCAGGAGGACCTGAGTTCAAATCCGGCCTCAGACACATAACACTTACTAGCTGTGTGACTCTGGGCAAGTCACTTAACCCCAATTGCCTCACCAAAAAACAAAACCAAAAAAACCCAAAACCAACAACAAAGAAATGATTTGGACTGAGAGACTCTCAGGAGGTAAATCCTGAGAAAGAGAGTGAACCTACAGTAAATCCAAGTAAAGACTCAGAGAAAAAAAATGCTCTGGCTCATGGATTACAAGAGTACCAGGTAGAGATTAAACAGGAGATACAAAATGGAATAACTAGAGAGGAAAGAATGGCAAAGATGCCTCCAAACAGATGGTAGAAAATCCTATCTAAGAACTGAATGCCCTGAAAATTAGAATGGGCCAAACAGAAAACAGTGACTTAATGGACAATAACAAATATTGAAAATCAAAAGATTGAAAAAAAAAAGGAGAAAATGTAATATGTGGTATAACAAAATATAACGTCAGAAACAACTGAGGAAGAAAATAGCTCAAGGAAAGATAATTTAAGAATTATTAAACTACCTGAAAATCATGACCATAAATCAATCAGCCAATAAATGAATGAACAAATAAGTAAATAAGCCAGCAAATAAATAAACTAGATAGATAGATATAAATATAGGTAGATTTAAAAAGCAAGCCTGGTTGCCACATTTCAAGAAAAGCATAAATGAAAATTACTCAGAACTCTTAGAACCAGAATGCAAAGAGAAAGTAGAAAGAATTTCAACTGATTTCCTGAAACCCCAAAATAGAAATTCCAAGGAATGGTACAGCCAAAATCCAAAGTTTTGGGGTTTAAAAAAATGCTGTAAGCAGGTAAAAAGAGTTCAAGTACCAAGGAGCCACTGTAAAGATCACAAAAGATGTGTCAGGTACCACTATAAAGAAAAAGAAAGCTTAAAATATGATATTCTAGAAGGGATAAGATAAAGGCTTACCACTAAGAGTAACCTGTCTTGAAAAACTAAGTACCAGGGGGAAAAGTGGATCTTTAATGAAAAAGAATTTCCAAGCAGTCCTGATAAAAAGGCCAGAACTAAGCAAAACTAATTGAAATGGAATTGCAGAAGCCAAGAGAAACAGAAAGGTACATACATTTGTTCAATTAGAAGAGAATAGGTGAGGACAGTTTACAAGCTAACAGGAGATAAGAAACAAATGTCTTTTCTGCACTATACTGTATGGGTCTTAGAGAAAAGCAGATATGACAGAGGGCTTGTGGGAAGTTCTGTTCTGTTTTAATAATCTCAGGTGAAGACAAAAATGGAGGGACAAGGAACTATATTGGGGAAGAAAAGAGGAGGAAAGGAGGGAAATCAATATCACCTAACAGAAATACATAAAATGATGGGTGTATAATCAAAGAGGAAGAG